GGGCTCTATCTGCTCCGCAGCGCTTATGGGCCACCATCGTACCATTACCACCCGGCGCGCCCTAGCGCGCGGACGTTGCTCTCTCAAGAATCCTTTCCCGAACGCCGCCCTTCCGCAGGGCTCTCTTTCTGGACGGCCTGCTCGCAGGGCATGCCCCCAGACACCTTCTCCCCCCCCCCAACACCTGACACAACGGCAGGTCGCCCACTAACAAAAACTTTGGATGAGCTCGACGTTGCACTGACCAAGGGCAGCATCCCCACCTCGCTGCACAACGCTGGACAGTTCGATCTAATTGGTCGGACCGTCTGTTCATCAGACCCAATTGCATCATACATGGTTTAGCCATGGGGATGGACAACATCAGAGCCGTTGTCACAGCAGAGGGAGCGTTCCTTTCTTGCCGACAGCATCCAGGTCCGAAATCTGAGGAAGGGCAACGATTTGAGCACATGCTCTGTCAAGATTCGCTGCGTCCGCGTGGCCATAGCTAGCAACCGTCCAACAAAGGAGAAGTAGGAGGAACAGGAGCAGGAAGAGGAGGAGAATGGCGGAGGAATCGGATGGAGGGACAAAACGAGGAGGGGGAGAAGAAGGAGGAGGAGGAGGCGGAGCCGTCAACTCCTCGCTTAGCTGTACAGTAAGGCGCGATGGCTGTGCCATTATAACAGCGTTGCGATAGCTGTCGATCCGATGGCAGCACTATTTTTTACACGCAACACATCATTGGCGACAGAGCTTTATTGAAAATCAACAGGCAAACCAGGAACACCGCACAAGTCGACCTGCAATAGGCAAGCCCACGCTCTGAATCGTGGCCTGAACGACAGATCGACAATGCAGTTGCGGCACGAGGTAGGAGAGAGGAGGGAGAAGGACAAGAAGAAATGTGGACGGAAGGAGGAAACGAGGGAGGGGAAAAGCGTCAGTATTTCAAGATATCATGCCCAGGGCGGGATAGCCCGAAGCCAATCATCAAATACATGCGACGTTGCATTAAAACCATCCAACCACAATGCCAACTACTGGCTGACTGGCGCCAGCTCCCAGAGACCTGCACAAGCCCGCGATTGCTTACGTAGAACGCAAGTGCGACAGCGGAGTCCCCCCCAACCGACCATGCTCGAGAGGCCTCGGCAGCAGGCGCAGCAAGGCAAGGAACACGAACAGGTAAGGAGGAAGAGGAGGAGGAGGATGAGAAGGAGGAGGAGGAGGAGGAGGAGGAGGAGGAGGAGGAGGAGGGGGAGGAGGAGGGAGGAGGAGGAGGGAGGAGGAGGAGGGAGGGGAGGAGGGAGAGGAGGAGGAGGAGGAGGAGGAGGAGGAGGCCGAGAATGGCTGGACTCCGAAATCTAACATCGGCGGCGCACCGCGTCCGCCTTTTTTCAAACAGGGAGCGCGACGGGAACCCCGTGGCTGACCCGTGCGGCCTGCCAGCCACCCGGTCTGGAGCGGGTGCGGTTCGGACTCTGGGGCTCCCCCAGACGTTGGGGAGTGCTCCGACTGTGTCTCGTCGTCCTCAGCATTTGTCCTCGCTCCCCCCCCTGCCCACTCTCCTTCCGCCTCCCCCTCCACCTCCTCCTCCTCCCACTCCCCCTCCTCCTCCCCTGCTCCTGTTCCTCCTCCTCCTCATTCTCTTCCTTCTCCTCCTCCTTCTCCTCCTCCTCCTCGTCCTCGTCCTCCTGCTCCTCCTGTTCCTCCTGCTCCTCCTGCTCCTCCTGCTCCTCCTCCTCCTCCTCCTTCTCCTCCTTCTCCTTCTCCTCCTCCTCCTCCTCCTCCTGCTCCTCCTCCTCTTCCTCCTCCTCCGCCTCCTCCTACAAATATGCAGAGTCGGAGCAACCCCCAGAGTCTGGGGGCGCCCCAGGGTCTGAACAGCACCTTTTTTTTATAAATGCCATAAATTCCTCGAGCCTCTCGGCACGGCGCGCCACGACCACTGCTGCTCGGCCCCGTGTCCTGCGCGGACCGGCGTATAGCGACAGCCCGCCCAGGGGCGACGCTGGAGCGTGCGATCGGCGAGGGGGGGGAGAGGAAGGGAGGGGGAGGAGGAGGAGGAGGAGGAGGAAGAGGAGGAGGAATAGAACGAGGAGGAGGAGGAAAAAGAGAAGGAGGAGGAGGAACAAACAGAGGCGGGACAGCAAACACCACGGCGGCGCGTTCTCCCACAAACGGGGTGCGCGGTTCTGGCTCTCGCTGCTACTGGCGGCGCATTGGCGGCCAGCCACATCCAGGCGCCCGCCAGCGCGCCCGCCAAGATCTGCACCAACGAGCGAAGGGCGACGTCCGCCCTGAGCACCTTGCCGACGAGGCCGAGAGCGAAAGACACCCTGGGGTGGAAGCTCGCTCCGGAGACTTTCGCCAGGGCGCAGACGCCGACCACGAGGGAGAAGCAGATCGAGCTGCCCGCCGCTTTCACTGCCGTGCCACGGAGGACGTCGCAGGCGACGGTAAACATCAGAACAAAGGCGCCCACGAACTCGCCGATGTGCCCAGCGGGGACTGTTGGAACGCGACACAAGGCAAGCGTTGTGCCCGAGTGGTGCAGAAGCTCCTTGCGGCAAACAAGAGCTTGAGCCAACGATCCTACGGCAGGACGAAAGGCGCGCGATCCTGTGCACGCAGGCCCCTGCAGGCACAACTGTGCGCATGGTTACCATCTCCGAGCAGGCCTCCAGCAAGGAACCATGCTTGCCCGAGATGCGCCTCTTTTCGTACACCCATGAACGACTTCCACCTTGATCTGAACAACGGACAAACAGTTTGGAATCGTATGAACAACCGATTTCGCTACATACGTGTACCCTCCACTTTGATTGGCTGGTGACCGAGGTCCTGTAATATTCAGCTTATGGACGTATGCATCCTCATCGCTCCCACCTAATCGACGCGCCTCGGCCACCACGCAGAGCAATGCGTGTTCGGGGCGCTCCCCGAGAGAGATATTCATCAAGACATGGCGCCGTTCCGGAATCGAAACTCGGCGCTGTTCCACATGTTAACTTCCGCTGGCTTTCGCTGGCCTTCCGCCAGCTTCCACAAGCGGAAACGCCCTCGTTTTACTTCCGCACCTTCCGGCGCAACTCCGCAGCCTTCCGCCGAGGATGAGGCGGCGGCTCCTTCGATGCTCGAAGGCGAGGCCCTTTCTGGCACGCCTCGCATGGCTGCCCGCTCTGCATCACATCGAACACTTCACCATGCATGTGTGGCAGGCGAGAGTGGCTAGTGGCAGCCACACAAACGCTGCACCTGCGCCCGCCGTCGGGTGCGGCGTCGGCCAACCCCAGGGGATACGTCGAGCTCAACGTCGGGCTGGGCGTGGAAAAAAGGCGTCGGGCTCGGCGTCGAGATCTCGTCCTCCCCATTATGGTCCATTTCCTCCTCCTCCTCCTCCTCCTCCTCCTCTTCCTCCTCCTCCTCCCCCTTCTCCTCCTCATCCTTCTCCTCCTCCTCCTCCTCCTCCTCCTCCTCCTCCTCCTCCTCTTTATTCCTCCTTCGCTTCATCTTCGTTGTCGTGGTCGTCCTCTTCCTCTTCCTCCTCCTCCTTCTCCTCCTCATCATCATCATCACCAACACCATCACCAACACCATCATCATCATCATCATCATCATCAGCAGCATCAGCATCAGCATCAGCATCAGCATCATCATCATCATCATCATCATCATCATCATCATCATCACAATCACAATCAACATCATCATCATCATCAGCATCAGCATCAGCAGCAGCATCATCAACATCATCATCAACAGCATCATCATCATCATCATCATCATCTTCATTATCATCATCATCATCATCATCATCATCATCATCATCATCATCATCATCATCATCATCGTCAGCATCACCAACACCATCACCATGAGTAGTACCACCGTCATCAGCATCATCGTCAGCATCGGCATCATCAGCATATTTATCGTCATCATCATCAGCATTGTCATCACCTTCAGCATCAGCACTCTCACCAGCATCATCATCATCATCATCATCATCATCAGCATCATCATCATCATCATCATCATCATCATCATCATCATCATCATCGTCCTCGTCGTGGTCATCATCATCAGCATCATCATCATCAGCAGCATCATCATCCTCTGCATGAGCGTCGTCGTCGTCAACCCCTCATCATCGTCCTCCTCCCCTTCCTCCATTATCCTCCTCCTCCTCCTCTTGACGCTGCTGGCCCCAATAACAAATTATCCTCCTCTTCCACGTCCTCCGTCTCCTTCTCCTCCTCCTCCTCCTCCTCCGCCCTTCTCCTCTTGCGCCTGCTCATTGCTCCTCTCTGCCGACGGAGGCCTCTGCCCCCTCCTCCCCCGTCTGCTTCTCCCTCCTCCCCCAATCCCTCATCCCTCCCGTCGCCTGCGGGAAAGTCCTAGCCACCCGAGACCCGACGGAGCGAAACATTGTCAGGCTGCCAGGTCTCAGCAAGCATTGTGAGGATGTGCTTCTGCTTCTTGGAAAAAAGTCATGACGAATGGAATTTAGACATCATGAAAATCACGAACAGGGCCCTGGGCCCCACCTTGCTGCGCTGCGCCCTTCTTCGAGCTGGACCGCGATCTGTGCGGGCCCCTGGACCCTAAGAAACTGGGCGCGAACGCGCTTCGCACTCGAACGAGACCCGAGACGCGCCAGGATCTCGGAGCAGTCCCTCCCTCCCTCCCTCCCTCCTCCACCCCTCCCTCACTCCCTCCCTCCTTCTCCCTCCTCCCTCCTCGCGCCCCTCCTCCCCCTCCCTCCTGCCTCCCTCCTCCTCCCTCCCCCCTCCTCCCCCCCTCCCTCCTTCCCTCCCTCCTCATCCCTCCTCCCTCCTCGCGCCCATCCCCTTCCCTCCTGCCTCCCTCTCCTCCCTCCCCCCTGCCTCGCTCCCCCCTCACTCCCTCCTCCCTCCTCCCTCCTTCGCCCCTCCCGCCCTCCGCGCACGGCACGGGGCGTGGCGGCGACCAGCGGCCGCGAGCGCCGCCCCGCACCCCTCTGGGCCCCTGGCGGGTCGGCGCTGAGCAGCTCCGTGGCGCTCTCGCCTGCAGGGGGGGGGGCGGCCAAGGGGGAGGGGGGAGCGGGAAGGGGGAGGGGGGAGGGGGAGAAGGCAAGCTAGGTGCGCTCGCGTCATATCTGACGTCCTACCCCTCCCTCCCATCCCTTACCATGGCGCTGATTTTCTCTATCCGCGGACGCGTGTCGTAGCGGACCTGTGACTCCGCGCGCGCGTGCATAGTGGGTGGTGGTGCACGTGCGTGCGTGCGTGCGTGCGTGTGCGTGGTTGTGGTGGTGGTGGTGGGGTGGTGGTGGTGGTGGTGCTGGTGGTGGTGCTGGTGGTGGTGCTGGTGCTGGTGGTGGTTGTGATGGTGGTGGTGGTGGTGGTGGTGGTGGTGGTGGTGGAGGTGGTGGTGCGGCGCGGTGGTGGCGGGCGGATGGGCGCGCGAGAAAGAGGCCCGCGCTGGGGCGAGAACGCCATCCTGAACGACGGAGGCCAAACACCGATCCGAAAATGAGGCCCACGCTGCAGCGGGAGCACGATTCGGAACGATTCGGGAGCAAAAGTGAGGCCGGCGCCTCAGCGAGAGCATCATTCAAAAAGCAAGCGAAAACCCGTTTCCCGGGAATCCTGTGTAAAAAAACAGTACGCGGGGGGCGTTCGGCCCAAAAATGACGCCGGCGCCTCAGCGAGAGTCGTTTCCCGGGATTTCCCGGGAATCCTCTGTGTAAAAAACAGTACGCGGAGAATGCGCGGCCATCACCCGGACGCCATCAGGGGAAGAGGGAGAATATTTTCATATTGAGTAATTGTGAAGGGAAGGGGGCGGAAGAGAGAGGGGAGGAGGGGAGGGGAGGGGAGGGGAGGGAAGGGGAGGAAGGGAAGGGAAGGGAAGGGAAGGGAATTGAAGGGAGGAGGGGGGGGAGAGAGGGTGGGAAGGAGGAGGGGCGAGAGGAGGGGGAGGGAGGCGAGGGGAAGGAAGGCAAGCTAGGTGCTCTCGCGTCATATCTGACATCCGACCCCTCCCTCCCATCCCTTACCATGGCGTAGATCTCCTCTCTACTCGCACGGTTAGATGTCGAGCAGGGCAATGATCGCGAAAGGGTACGCGATGCATGGTAGAACACTGGCATGGCGTGGAAGAGCACGGCAGAGTGCAGCATGCCATAGCATGGCGTGGCATTGCGCAATGAAACATTGCATCGCAAAGCATTGCAAGGCAAAGCGTGGCGTCGCACAGCGGCGCAGACTACAACACCGCACAGCATGTTTTGGCATGGCGCCATATTCTCTGGAGGGTAAATAGATCGTCTTCGAAAGGTCTGGGCCAGTCTGGAGTCGTGGCTCCATGTCTAGTTGCTTGGGCTCCCCAAAAAACTCCACACAAGGCGGGGCTGATGGAGAGCACCCGCTGGCTCTGCTTCGAACATCGCCTGCTCAAAGCAGAAACGAGGCTCCCGCTTGATACTTCCTGAAAGCGACAACGCCCCAAAGTTTGGGGGGGAGCTTCTGCGGTCCAAAATATCAACGGCTCGATACAAAGTGTATAATCACTTCAAATTTTTTCCGAGGGGGGCATTTCTAGATTTGGGAGCCGGGTTGAAGGAAGGCCAGAGCTGCAGCAGGAGCACGAGTTGGAACGAGCGGAAGGGCGGGAATGAGGCCAGCGCTGCAGCGGGAGCACGATTCGGAACGAGCGAAATCCCGAACATGAGGCCAGCGCTTCAGCGGGAGCAACATGTTGCAAGTTATCCCGGCAAAGCTACCTAACAGCGATGTGTAGAAGCATAGCTGGAAACGTTGCCTTGGGTATTCATGTGAGAGCGTTGTTGTAGAATTCAGGTGTTCTCGCAGTCGCATTCGGATTCGCAGTGGCAGTCGCAGTGGCAACATCAGTCGCAGTCGCAGTCGCAGTGGCACTGCCAGTAGTTGCAGTAGCAAGAGCTACACTAGCAGCAGCAACAGCAGCAGCAGCAGCAGTAATAGTAACAATAATACTAGCAGTAGAAGTAGTAGTGATGGTAGTAACGGTAAGCATTAGTCGGGTACCCCGTACAGAAATGAAGGGAGAAAGGGGAGGGAGGAAAGAGTAAGGAGCCTCCCTCGTCCTGCAACTCCTGCTCCTCCTGCTCCTCCTACTACTGCTACTACAAGAATTAGATTCGGGCGGAAACGTCCAGTGCACGATGACGCCTGGGTCCGCCGTCTTGCCCTGCACGATGACGACACAGAACAAACCCGGAATCGGGTGGCGAGAGATCTGACGGAGACATCCAGTAAGCAAAATGTGGCCCGGGAATGGAGTTCTGGGAGCTCGAAGAAAACGAAGTGGCCTACAGCTGGCTCCGGACATCCAAAATGTGGCCCGGCAGTAAATTTCTGGGAACTCGAAGACCACGAAGTGGCCTACAGTTGGCTCCGGGCACCCAAAATGTAGCCCGGGAGTGGAGTTCTGGGAACTCGAAGACCACGAAGTGGCTTACAGTTGGCTCCTGGCATCCAAAATGTGGCCCGGGAATGGAGTTCTGGGAACTCGAAGACCACGAAGTGGCCTACAGTTGGCTCCGGGCATCCAACATGTACGCTGGGAATGGAGTTCTGGATGCTCGAAGACCACGAAGTGGCCTACAGTTGGCTCCGGGCATTCAAAATGTACGCCGGGAGTGGAGTTCTAGCAGCGCCAAGAGTGATTTTGCGAGGATGTCCCAAGCGATTTGGGCTTCGGCGGCAGCCGCCCCAGGTCCCGCCCCGACCCCCCTGTGGAGTCATCTGCTGCTCTTTTTTGACACAATTAGAAACCTATGAGTCTTTGCTGTTACGTAAAAACAACGAAAACCCGTATCCTGGGAGTCTGGTGGAAAAAACAATACGCGGAAGGGGGCCGGATCTCTTCCGGGCGTCATCAGGGGATACAAGAGAGTAGTTCTCATACGTGTAATTGTGAAGGGAAGGGAGGAATGGAAGGAAGGAGGGAGGAGGAGGAGGGGGAAAGAAAGGAGGAAGGAAGGGACGGGGGGGCGGAAACGGAGGAGGAGGAGGCGGAGAAGGAGGAAATGGAGGAGGAAGGGGGGAAAGAGAGGAGGGAAGCTAGGGGATGGAGGCGGGAATGGGGAAGAGGCGGAGCAGGAGGGCGTGGAGCAAATGGAGGAAGGGGGCGAAGGAGATGGGAGGGGGAGGGGAGGGAGGGAGGGAGGGGGAGAGAGGGAAGGAAAACGAGAGAGCAGGGGGGGGAGAAGGGAAGGGAGAGACGGAAAGGAGGGATGAGGGAAGAGGGAGGGGGGAGGAAGAGGGAAGGGAGGGACGGGGGGGAGGGAGGAAGGGAGAGAAGGAAAGGAGGGAGGAGGGGGAGGGAGGAGGGAGCAGGAAGGACGGGAAGGAGGGGGGGAGGGAGCAAGGGAGGAGTGAAGAGAGGAAAGGGGAACCCACATCATTCGTTACCCAAAAATGTTGGCAACCAGCGGGGGAATTCGGAACGCCCGTTGCAGCCGCACGGGACGCCACGATCCACTGATGTCTCACCGACCGTCGGCAACGTCAACGCGGTCTGCAATGTATAGCGGCGATGATGCTGACGGTGATTTTGCGGCGAGCGCGGGGGAGGAGTGACAAGGGGCGGGCCTTCTCGGAGGGTTCGGAAGTCCTCCAGCCCTCCGAGAAGCGTTCAGAGCCTTCCCCGGAGACATAGTCGGGGCTTCGTAAACGGGGGGTTAGCTAAACGGGGGCTTTGGCTTTTCCATCTGCCCCCGTTTACTGTGCCCCGGTCTACGGCGCCCAGGGTCCCCTGAAACGGGAACATAGGCAAACGTGGAAATCGGCGTTCCCCGTGCCCCCGTTTGCTGTGCCCCCATCTCTGGCGCCCTGGCGCACACAACCACTCAAAGGCCCGAAGCCTTCTGAGAAGTTCCTCCGCCTTCTGAGAAGGCTTTCTCTACAAGAAGACAAACCTGCGCAAACATGGAGGAGCGCGGATCCAAACAGTCCGCGCAGAGAGCCCGAAAAGTTTCTGGTTCCGGCGTCTTGTTCGTCTTCGCTTCTTCTTCTTCTTCTTCGCGACGACGGCGCCGACGACAGCAACGATCGACGAGCGACGAGCGACGACGACGACGACGACGACGACGACAACGAGGACGAGGACGACGACGACGACGCGACCGACGGCGCTCGCCTGGCGGCACGCGCTCCCGCGCAATGGGGAGGGCCGGCCCCGCTTCGGCGCCAACGGTGGGGGCCTCCTGCGACGGCGGCCGCGCCTGCCGCTGCGGTTCCTCGGCAGCGGCGGCCTCCTGAGGCGGCCCCACCGCTCGTCGTCGTCGTCGTCGTCGTCGTCGTCGTCGTCGTCGTCGTCGTCGTCGCTGTCGTCGTCGTCGTCGGCGTCGTCGTCGTCGGCGTCGTCGCTCGTCGTCGGCGTCGTCGTCGTCGTCGGCGTCGTCGTCGACGTCGCTCGTCGTCGCTCGTCGTCGTCGTCGTCGTCATCGTCGTCGTCGTCGTCGTCGCTCGTCGATCGTCGCTGTCGTCGTCATCATCATCGTCGTTTTCGTCGTCGTCGTCGTCGTCGCTCGTCGGATGTCGCTGTCGTCGTCGTCATCGTCGTCGTTCTCGTCGTCGTCGTCGTCGTCACTCGTCGTCGTCTCTCGTCATCGTCGTAGGCGCTCGTCGTCGTCGTCGCTCGTCGTCGTCTCTCGTCGTCGTCGCTAGTCACTTGTCGTCGCTCGTCATCGTCGTGCTAGTCGTCATCCTCCTTCTCCTCCTCCCTCCTCTCCTCCAATCACTCCTCGATTCCTCTTTCCCCCTCCCTCCTGCCTTATCTCCTCTTCCTCCTTACTCATGATTCTCCCTCCCCCCCTCCTCCTCCTCCGCCTCCTGCTCCTCCTCCTCCTCCTCCTCCTCCTCCTCCTCCTCCTCCTCCTCCGCCTCCTCCCCCTCCTCATCCTTCTCCTCCTCCCCGTCATGATCCTCCTCCTCCTCCTTCTCCTCCTCCACCGCCTGCTCCTCTTCCTCCTCCCCTTCCTCCTCCTCCTCCTCCTCCCGCTCGTCCTCTTCCTCCTCCTCCTCCTCCTCATCATCATCCGCCTCCTCCTCCTTTTCCTGCTCCTGCTCGTCCTCCTCCTCCTCCTCTTCGTCCTCCTCCTCCTCCTCCACCTCCTCCTCCTCATCATCATCATCATCATTATCCAGCTTTTATTGACAGCGACGCAAATGCCCCTGAAGTGAATGTGACCTGCCTGCTTCAGCGAGAGGCGCACTGGATGAGCAGGCTGAGTAACCTGTAAACTATAAGAGTGGGATGATTTCATCAACGTCGACAGACACACCCTCCTTATCAGGGTGCAGGCCTTTTTACGGAGACGGCGCATGTTCTTCACACCCGTCATCATCGTTGGGGGGGCCGCATTTACGGCCGAGGCCCACAACCTGACCTCCACTGCTATAGAACTTGCGCAACATGCACAAGAACAGATGGCCACCGTCACTTGAAGGGAAGGTAATTACCCGGTGGCCCATGCTCTCCAACGATAACTGGTCCAAACGAGACTGCCCAAGCCACGGTCCTCCGAACGGCTTGGACAACGCCCGAGACCCTCGGATGCACACTCGAAAACGCCAACGCGAGCCTTGTTGGGACCAGTCGTGGACGAGCTCTAAAACAAAAGCAACTGGGCCTGAAGGCGGCGGGGTACGCTGCAGGCCCCCGAACCTAAGTTTTGGCCAAAGTGGCAGGAGCTCAGCCCCCGCAAGGGCAACAGCTCACGAGACTCTAAACTGATAGTTAAACCCTTCAAACTCAGCTGGAGACAGTTCAGGGTGCCTAGCAGCTCCTTCTTTAGCAGAAACATCAGCATAGAACTTCCCTTGGCGCAGGAATCTCTCACGCGCCGAGAGCCCTTTCTCGTCAATGTCTCTGTGGGCGTCAACCTTAAAGATCGAAGCAATTTTGGGCCCGAAATGATGTCTCGCTTGGATGATCTGGCCTGCGCACTGACGCTTCGCAGTGATACCACCGGCAGGTCCGAGATTCATCAGCTGAACAACATTGGCACAATCGGAAAAACATAGGGCAGGGCCTTCGGTTTGAACAGAGGTCCAGGCAAGGGCCCCGACCTCCGCTCCCTGGGGGGTCTGAGGCCACCGAGCCCAAAGAAGACCTTTTTAAAAACCTCGAGGAGCTCGCCCGAACTAGAGACCACAACTGCGGCCCAACCAGCCCAAGACAATTCCCGAACAATGTGCCCACGGCAAGAGCGGCCCATAAAAAGGTGCCCCCAGAGCCCAGTGGAGGGAGGAATGGAGGGGGCAGCAGCAAGATTGGCAGGGCCGGGAAGGGCATCCGCATACCATTCCAAGCTCATACCTCCATCAGTGAGCGGCGGATGGGCATCGTCTCCAGGGTGTCTGAAGGCTCCATAAAGGTACAAACACATGTCCAGATGGTTCGCACCTAGCTCGAGCGCTTCCTCCTGCATACTTTTGTCCAATACCGCATCTCTAACATCCTGCGCGAACGGGCACTCAGGCAGCCTGTGGAACAAAGTGTCGCGGGCCGTGCCGCGCAAACCGCGCTGGTCGCTAAACTCGCAGCCTGCTGCCACGACGTCGCCCGCCGCCCAGCAGGCCTTAGTGGCCTGAGCTCGAATCCCACTTTCCGTTTTCCTCGAGACCTTTTTGGAGGGCAGGGGCTATTCGACCACGTCCCAGCACCAACGAAAAGCACACCCATACTTGTCTCCAGAGTCCCTTCCCAGACCCCTCAAAACCGCTTCCTTGCACAAGGGGTTGACCAGCTTGCGGGGCGAAAGGGCGAAGGAAATCTCAAGCCCGGAATCATCTACAATCGCGCAACAGTTCGGCATGGTCCAGCCAAGCCTATAACGCGACACCCTCTGCACAGAGATCGGCCACGAGACCGAGGCCCAAGAATACTTTTCCGAAGAAAAACCGCCTGTAACCCTTCTCTAAGCTCCGCCCAGCTAATGGCCCAAGGGAAAGCATGCGCATGCAGGGTCCAGACCTCCCCTGGCTTACCTGATGATGGGGGCGCAGCTCCCGCGCCACGTGGGATCGCCCGAGAGAAGGCACGCGACGCTGAGAGATCTCCCCTGAGCTTTTGGCATCACCGTGGACATCGCCATACGCCTCAGGTCGAGCAGCTCACGATCCGAAACCCCCTGCAATTCCGAGCCATAAATGGCCCCAGCAAGGGGCCCGGCCGCAAAAAAACGCAGGCACTTGCGCCCCAAGGCCTCGTTGGGCCCCTCAAGCGCTTGGTTTGTCTCAACGCCGTCGCAGCGCGTGCCTTCAGCTTGGCCGATCGGCCCTGGCCTCTCAGCGCTCTGCCCGAGGTAAATCCTAACCAAGGTTAGTCACCCGAAAGCAAGCTGGACCAACCAGGGGGCCTAACTCTTGAGTTAAACGCTTCGAGACATCAAGAGAATCACAGACCATGCCAATTTTCTCCATCGCCAGTTTGCACTCGAGCGTGCTCGCGATGACATGGTGGAGCGCCTTGGCTCCAGCAGTGGGGGCAGCGACGACCACCTTGGCTGATCCAGTGCAGCTAAGGCTCAGGTCGGCCACATAAGCGTCGAAGTCTGCACTCTTGCCAGGGGCCCTGGGGATTTGAGTGAGGCCCCCATAGCAAAAACACGGATGAGGCTGGTCGCAGAGGAGCAACCAGCCACCAGGCCCTTGGACACACAAAAAAGGCCCTTGGATAATGCCCCGACGCAAGGAAACCGGCACAAGAGTACGCCTGAATTGCCAAACGCGCCAGCGGGAACGGGAAAACATGCTTCTGGCACCGCCGCCAGAGAAGCCCGAGGTCAATGTGCTCAGAATACTTCCCAAAGTTCCAGAAAATGACAGCCGATGTATCTCCTCGACGGTTTCCCGTTCGGCCATGAAGGCCTGCCACCAAACAACGTCCCCCGCGCCCCTGTTGGCCCCCGCAGCCCAATGCCTACGGGGATACTTCAGTTCCCAGTGCAGGGCCTCATGTCTACGGGCACGACCCCAAACATGGTAGAGACTAGGGCGCACCCCTATGGGCCGGGACCCCCCCGTCGGCTTGGCCAGACGGGCCGCGAGGGCCCAAGACAGCTGGCGGGGCAAGGCCCCCGTGACCTCCCACGCCGCAAACCACAAAGCAAAAGCACGCAAAGCCTCAGTTGGGAGCAAGCAGAAATGACGACAATGAAAGCGTCGATGCTGACAGCAAAGGCAGGACGATACTTCATCTCAGCAGGCTCCCAAACACGAGCACGCGGAAGAAGGTCGCGCCACCCCCCCCACCCCCCACCCCCCCCGAGCCCGAGCCCCACATGGCGGCGAACTCGTCGCCTTCCGCTCGAAGCAGCGAGACCGCGTCGCAAACTGTCGCCCCACACCTAGACATGGTGGTGGTCGGCTCCCATGGCTCCGGATCTTCGACAGCCTTTTGAGCGTTGCGACCGCCGGCATCGATGCCCATTCTCAACCGCTCGCGCCACTCTTGCCGCGACTCCGCCGCGGAGGTGGCCTTGGCAGTGGAGACAGCGAGCGCAATCTGAGCGATCGGTCGTCCAGATCCGAGAGAAGCTCAGGATCTTAATCAGTCAGCAGGGCGCGTCTAGCTAAAGCCGCGCCAGCTTTGAAGAACGGGAAGAAGTCCGTGCCTCCGTGCGCCGCCGCGGCCTCTGGGGGCTGGCTGATCGAGTTGAGCACCTGGCGCCCAGCCTCCTGCAAGATCGATTCAGAGAGGTTGCACCTAACTGCTCGCAGCTGGTTGCAAGACAATTGGGCCGAACGTAAGCCTGGCTGCTTCTCTCTGCCCGCAGGCTTTAAAACAAATTTCCAATGCACTTGAGGTCGCTTGCCCCGCGCCCCAAGGATTTTCAGGTCGTGCCCCAGGACGAGCACAAGGCCCCTCTCAGCGGCGCCCGCCCAAACCTGACCGCCAGGAGAAAGCAGTCTGCGGGCTTTGACCCATCTCCAGCCCCCACCGCGCCAAAAGCTCCCCCGGCCAAGCCCAGCGCGGCGCCCCAGGGCCCAGGCAGAGGGGCAGGACCAACAGGGGGACAAAACAAGCAAAGAAGGGGGCTGGCGGAAGGGGGGGGGGGCCTTGAGATCTCCGAGGGAGCTGCGAAAGCGGAGCGACACAGGGCGGCGAGGGGCAACGCTAGAGTCGTCTTCAACTCCGACCTGTTTCAAGCGAAGGCTCAAGGACTCCGAAACCATAAAATAATCGCAACGATCAGGGGCACCCCCTTACTAGGAAAGTGCGCGTGCCCTTCAGGCACAATCAACGAGGCTCTGAGACGGCCGACAAAGCTCGAGGGCTCCAGGACCTCCGGACCCATGTTCCAGTCAGCTCCCACAGTGAAATCGCAGCCAAGAGAATCCAACAAACTCCCCCACAACACGCAACATCTCCAGATTAGTATCGGAGAGAGCTTCACTGTGGACGAGGTAGAGGCTGCAGATGCACATCGGGGCGCAACCTGGCGCGTGCACCATGGTCGCCACAGCTCTGCCAGCACATGAGGCAATGCGACCCCCAGCTTCAAAAAGGCCAAAGCCACCGCGGACGCAAACGCAAACTCCTGATGCAAAGCCTCCTCCATCCCCAGGTACTCCAGAAGCCCACAGAGTTCTCCAGCCCAGGAACTTGGAAGATTTCGAAGCTCGGTGCAGAGCCCCTGTTTCCAGCAACCGATGCTCCTGAACAGTAACCACGTGGGCCTTCGGGGTGGCGAGGTCGGATCCGAGGGTGCCCCGAGTGTTGGTGTCGACCGTGGAGACCAAGAGCCCCTCGTCTAGCCTGATCGCGCAGTCAGTGGCCGCACCCTGGGCAGCTGGGGTTCGAGCTGAGGTCGCTGGCATACCGCCAGAAACAGAACGCATGCAGGACTAGGCCCCATACCGAGCTCGCACCAAAAAAAGAGGCAGCGGATTGCGGCAAGCGTGCGACATGTTCCTCCACCGTCGGGGTCTCGCCAGTCTTCACAACGCGCGGTTTCCCGACCGCGACAGGCAGAGGCAGAGTGGAGATGAGAGCGGCTCCTTGGCTTTCTGGGGGCACCCGAAAATCAGAAAGCAAAAGAGGGGCACCACAAGAAACTCCGACAGCCTCGCGGCCGAAGGCGCCCGTGAGGCGCCGCAGCAACATAATCCCCGAGGCCAGGGGCCTGGAGCCAATCGCTGACACTCTCGAGGCTAAACAAGTAAAAAGATCCCAGGAGGGTTTCAACTCCGGGGCCCCCGCTCTCATGATTCGCGCCCCCTGTCGCGCACTAGTGGCAGGGGGCGAGGATTGCCTGAGGGTCGGGCCAACCCCGGCTCGGATGTCCTCAGCGGGGGCAGCATCGCCGCCTGCCGCGGCAGGCTGCGAAGAGGCAGAGGCACCTTCAGAAGCCGCCCCAGGTTCAGCAGGAGCTGCACCAGCACCTGCCCCTGCACCAGTTCCACCTCCAGCAGCTGCTGCTCCATCTGGAACCTTGCGCTTCTTGGCCGCGAGTCGTGTACGATGGGCTTCATGCTGGTCTCGAAGTTTCCTGGCGTGGCCAGCAACCTGCGCGAACAGATCCCTCGCCAGCTTCGTGAATCGACCGGGCCCGACACCAGGTCCTCAAGTTTGAAGGAGCCATCAAGAGCATGCGGCTCCTCCTCCGACTTGTGAGAGCCCTGCAGCGCTGCGAGCGAGGCCTTGTAGTCAGCATCCGCCTGGTTGACTTGGTCCGGCGCCGTGCGCAACGTGGCTCCCGCATCGACGAGCTGTTCCCGCTAGCGAACCACCTTGCTAAGCGCGTGCTCCATCTGCTTCTCGAGCCGACGAACTTGAGAGCGAGCTTGCTGCATGCGTGTGTGATCCGAAGTGACTGCTGGCTTCGCGACAGCCTCCAAGTGACGCGCCATGCCCTGGTACTTAGCAGCCGCTCCGTGATCCCCCGCTGTCTGGAGCGACTCACCCAGAGCCTTGGCCTCTGCGGCGGAGATGGACAGCACTGTACCCACAGGAAGTGGCGGGGCACCTCCTCCAGCAGCATATCCCCGCTGTGCGTCATCTTGGCGAGCCAGCGCATCCCACATGGTGGGGTCGCCACCGAAACAACCTTTACCATTACCGTTCCCGTTGCCGTGCACACCTCCTTCGCCCTTGCCCACGAACGAGCCCTTGTTACCCGAGCCCTTGGAGCTGTAGCCGTTCCCGTATCAGTAGCCTGGAGGACCAGCGACAGCCCAGCGACCACTGACAACGCGACCAAAAGCAGGAGTAAGCGCCGGACGAGCACTGGCACCGTGCTTGCAGAACTCGAGGTTGGCGCTGCTCTTCTTGCAACCGCAGCAAGGGCACACCATGCCTGCCCACGCCTACTGCCTTTGGTGACCCACGGTTCCTCAGCTCCTGGGGACTTGGCCCACGGCGCAAACGAGAAAGAATGGGCAGGCGCCATCGCGAGGCAGAAGTAAATCGGTGAAAGAGAAAGTTCCTTGAGCAGAACGTCGTGTAAAATGAGCCAGGCGGGCGGACGCCTGGGAAAGCAGTGGGGGCCACACTCCCCCCAGGCCACAATGTCTAGTACTGAGCGAAACGCTACGGACTTGAGCCAAAATGGCTACGGACATCCTCCAGCTCCTCCTCCTCCTCCTCCTTATCCTCCTCCATCTCCTCCTGCTCCTGTTCCTCCTTCTCCCCCTGCTCCTCATCCCCCTCCTCCTCCTCCTCCTGCTCCTGCTCCTGCTCCTCCTCCTCCTCCTCCTCCTCCACCTCCTCCTCCTCCTCCTCCTCCTCACTCCTCCGCTTCCTCCTCTTCATCCGCATCACCATCATTCTTTATAAGCGTCAGCATGGTCTTTCTTCACGTGCTCCTCACCATCAGCATCGACATCAGCATCATCAACATCATCATCATCACCTTCATCCTCCTCATCATCATCATCATCATCATCAACATCATCATCATGAAGAGCATCAGCATCTGCAGCAGCACCAACGGCACCATTAACAACAACAACAACATCATAATTAACATCATCATCGTCATCAAAAAAATCGTCAACAATATCACCGTCACCACCACCACCACAACCGAAATGATCATGTTCACCATCACCATCAACACCAGCATCACCACCCCCACCACCATTAGCATCACCACAATAATCAGCATCATCATCATCAGCAGCAACAGCAACAGCAACAGCATCATCAACATCGGCAACATCATCCTCAGCATCAGCATCAGCATCATCAGCATCATCAGCATCAGCATCATCATCGCTGTCGTTGTCATCGTCGTCGTCCTCGTCATAAGCATCAACATCATCAACACCAGCAGCATCATCATCAGCGGCATCAACACCATCATCAACATTAGCATCAACGTCAACGTCATCAGCATTGGCATCATCATCAACAACATCATCACCATCGTCGTCGCCGTCGTCATCAGCATCAGCATCAGCACCATCATCAACATCAGCAGCAACATCAACATCATCAGCATCGCCATCATCATTATCAGCAACAACATCACTCTCATCATCATCAGCATCATCACCATCACTGTCATCACGATCATCATCACCATCATCATCGTTACCATCATCATTATCATCAACATGACCATCACGATCATCGATGTGTTCACGAACTCCAGCGCTTCTGGGCGTTGTTAACCCTTCTGCGCTCTTCGACATCCTTCGGAGGCCTCAAATAGTGAAACCTCTGATCGTGGGGCAGGATCAACCATGGCATCGAATCGCGAAAATGGGCCCGATCGGAGCGAGAATCGGATCGGGCTGCATTGGCTTCATCATCGGATCGAATCGGCTGTGCCAGGATGCGCAACTACCCG